CCAAAATGGCGCGTACCAAGCGCTCGACGATCGGGCACTGGGCCTTGCGGAAGCGCTTCTTCTGGTAGCGCTGCGCAGTGTGCGGGAGGAACGTGGCGGCCTTGCCCGACACGGCAACGTAGTCGATCAAAGCGACGTCGTTGACCTTGATGTCATCGTAGGTCCTGCGAAGCAGCAACTCATGAGCCACGGCTCGGACGCGCATGGCGACTGCGGTGGCCCATCGGCCGCATGCGCGACCGACGGCCATGCACCTCGCCAGGATCAACCATGCACACGTACCACTTGTTAAAGAGCTTGACTTCGGCAGCGGTCTCGGCCATTTTTTTACTTTGGGAAATGAAAAAGTAACTCTGCCCCTTAGCCAAATGAGTGGTGTCAAGCTATAGGAACCAATTATCCCGGGGGATACCGTATCCGGACGAATCCGGAAAATCGGCTGGTTGGTTGGTGCGGCGGGATGTGCTTGTAACGAGAATGGAGCCTCGATTCTAGAACGTATACAATCCCCGAGTGCAACGCGCAGGATCAGAGACAATAAAATAAACAAGCCAGCATGCGAATAATAATACGACCGCCGACGCCGACGTCGAGGTGCCACGACGCCATGGCCGACGCCGACCTGTACAGCACCAAGCCCTCGACCATGCTTGGCAGCATGCGTGGTCGCAGCGTGGTCGCGGCCAAGGGCCCAGCCGACGGCGAGCCTCCTCCTGCGCCGATGGAACCCTGTGATCCGGTCCTGCGCGTGGAGCCCAGCGTTCGTTGCCGCATCGCTGCCGCAGCAGACGCGAACGATGCTAGATAGCACTGTAGCCTTGTCGCCGTGGTTTGGTACGCAGCGTTGTTGAGCGCTATGGCGCGACGCGAGGTGGTGGCGACCGTGGTGCAACGACGGCCAGCGCATGACAGATACATGGAGGCGTGCAAAGCCCGTGCTGCCAACGCTGGCAACGAGCGAAGACATGCATATCGCAATAGCGTTAGAAGACGTCAGGCTGCAGCGCGCCTATTGTGATACGCTGGATGATGATGATGATGATGCTCGTGGGAAATGAAGGTCCATCGAGCGTTGCGAGGTCCATCTCCGGAAACAAGAATGCATTTGCAGTCAAGCTTGGTGTACGTACATGGGCAGTGCTGCCTTGCTCAACGGTGTTGAAACAATCGGCATGACTTGTTGACCATGTCGATCAAGCGCACAGCATTCACCGATGGACCATGGACGACATCCACACATACCGGTATGCAAGCTCAAGGACTCCTTCCCATGCGTGGCACTTGGTCGTTGTTGCGCGAGTCCTGAAGCGAAATTGTTGTAGCTGCCTTGCTAAAGCATGGCTGTGTCTTGTACCCTTCCTGAGGTGCACGGCGCCGCACCCGCCCAGTACTTATAGGTTCATCCTCCGTGTCCCATCGACGTGTGAAAGCAACCTACAATGCATACCCAAGAGAAGAGAGTATTGCGTCACCAAACTACTTTGTGATAGCCCGCTAGCACTGCGGCACGGATCTGCGTAGTACATAAGACTGCCATGAATGATAAGCTAAATAAGATGCCATTTATGTTCGTGGAGATGGCCAACTAAATGGTAAGCGAGTACTCGTCGCACTGGAGCATGGGGAGGTCCGAGAGGGACTCGGAGGTGAGTAGCACAATGGGCAGCGGCATCGTGCTTGGCGAGAACTGCAACTGCATCGTGTTGGTCGTCCAATCCTCGGACGACGATCGATCGTCTTCGAGGACGGGGCAGAGCGACCGCGACGTCATCGTCGTCAGCAAGAACGTTCGACGTGGCTGGTCGTAATGGCTTGGACGCGGCAGCGGAATGAACTTGTTCGAGTCCAAGATAAGATCGCTGCGCCGCTTGCGCTGGACATGAATATTCATCAGTGCAACACCGAGCACGACGAGGAGCCCCGCAATGATGCCCACAAGCGCATACGTCTCCGAGCCAGCGCTGAGCCCGCTGCTGTGTTCGGCGCTTTGTGCATACACCTTGCTGCCACTGGTATCCCTTGTCGACGGC